GAGAGAGTCACATTTCCAAGACACAAGGCTGTCACTATTCCGCATTTGTCAATGATTGTTTATGAATTAAAATATTTAAGAAATGCCTCGAGGCCACGATCTCGTTTTTAATCGCGACGTGTGGCAAATGGTAAGAAAACAAAACCGAGAGTTTTAGCAATTTTTTTTTCTTCAGCGTAGATTTGTGTCTTCGTGCCTAGGGGGATTCGTGCCGGCCTTGCGTGCCTTCCGCACAACATGTGGGAAAACACAAAGGTAATTCGCGTATTATTTTCGGCTCCGGATATTTTTCGCGTTTCGTTCCCTGCCGGTCCGGTCGAAAAACTAATTGGGATGAGCGATGCAACACATGAAAATCCTTCCGATTGAAAAGTTAACGCAAAAGGAAAGTGCGGTATCAGAAAGTTCGAGAAACAAGTGCAATTTACTGATGTTCGGGATCGTGAAGTTTGAAGGACGACGTGAAGGGTTACTTTTATAATTGTACAAAACTTCTTCCCAACCAGTCCCATTACCTCTCTTTTTATTCTTCCTTTATGGATGATCGTCCTTTCTTTCATTGTAACGTTCTTCGACCACCAATTTCTTTCTTTCATAATAATGTTATGTTTATATATTTCTTCCTTTTCTTCATTGGATTGTTTATACTTTTTTTACAAAGGTTCGCAACAGGAGAGGTCATATAAATCCTCAGGGTGCCGGTATTTTTGAAAAAAAAACATTTGTAAGTATGTCGGGTTCGAATGTAGAACCGCTGGATTCGAACGCGGGAACTTTACCTTAAAGTGATCATCACTTAACATTTTGTTTATATTGCCACTAATTAAAAGTACAAAAGAAAATAATTTCCTCTCTTTTTTCCCGTCGGCGATGAGAAGAGGTTCTGGGAACCATAAAAAATTAATTGTATTTCAATTTTCACTATGATCAACTTCTCGATTTTCTAGGAAATTATTCTCTCTCTCTCTATCTCTCTCTCTCTCTCTCTCTCTCTCTCTCTCTCTCTCTCTCCTCTCCTCTCTTTTTCTCTTTCTCTCTGATATTTTGTTCTATTTTTGATGATTGCTTGGAGATCGTAAGATAGGGTCTTGTGTGATGTAGGTTTAGAAAAACATTTTGTTTATATTGCCAAGGTTTCGATATTTATTTAGATCATCTTCAGGGCCTCGGATTTACAAACATTGTTTAGATAATAAAAATACATGTAAGATGTGAAAATGAATTTATACAATGTATAATTTAAACAATGTTTGTAAATTCCGGGCTCTGAAGATGATCTATATAGAATTGAAACGTTGGCACAATAAAGAAAATATTTTTCTTATATTACATAACACAAAATCGCATCTCACGATCTCCATATAATCATTAATTAACGGTCACTGTATACTGCACATTTTTATTTTCTATATTATTTCACCATGGAGTAGATCGAAAAGCATGTGTTCACTTGAGGAGTAAGAAAAAATCTTCAGCGGGAGGTCCACATTTGTTATTTATATACAGTTTTTTCTTACAAGTGGGTTAAGAGAACAATGGACGTACATACATATTTCATGTCGCGACGAACGAACCAATCCTTTTTGTTTGATATGCCCCAGAAACTCTTCGATAATTTAACAGACGTACAGTACAGTTGTCACAACCCAACGAGCAGATGTAAGAGAAATACTCAACAAAAACCAGGCCGGTAAAATAAATTTGATATAATAAATAGTCGTATATTTCAAATATAAGATAAATTTTTTTCAGCCGTAAGATTTTACAAATAATTTTAAAATTGATAGAAATCCTAGTGTGTTAATATAATGCAATTATTTCTTATATAAAAGGCAGAAAAACGATAATATCGTTCAATTGTTTGATTACGTATGGCGGATAAGAGATAATTTATATTTTTTCTTCTAAGTACAGTTGGTTATTTTTGGATTATATGTATGCTATTGAATCTGCAGTTCGTACGAAACGGTTCACAATCGATTATTGATTGGCCTTGTATGTACAAGTACGTTTATTGCCTTGTTTGAAAATATCAAATTCGCAAAAATTTATTCTTAGTACTTATTGATATTTAACATTGTATTCAGTAGGCAAGCGTGAGAAGAATGTTGGATTATAAGACGGAGTATTCGAAACGTGACAAAGAGCGAGGATATACTGAATTTTGAAGAATCATCAATGCTATCTAATAATTTCGATTATACGTTTTTTTCCCCATGTCGTAGTAATTGTAATTGCAATATAAATTTGATAAGCAGTCTCTGACTATTCGACACCTTGTTTGATTCGATCACATGAAAATGCATTTTTCAGCATGTTGATGATTATGTTTTAAATTTGAAATTTTTTCCTTGATGTATACTGAACGGTATGCGCAATACTAATCAACAAGGTATAGATATTGGTATTTGAGCGAATTAATGCTTCACATTCCTTCGGTCGGTTATGGCCCCGGGTTGGCAAATAGGGAACTTTTACGAGCATCTCCCGTTTTCTCCCGTTTCGGGCGTTTGAGGAAAATCTCTCGGAATTGTTATTTTCCAAGGCGAACGGAGGGATTCCAGGCATAAATTCAACTCTGCCTCCCGTAATAAGTGGCTGGGAGATAAATTTCACATGTTTCTGCGTTAGAGTGAAAAAGGACTGGAAGAGTTGAACCACTTTTGACATAGGGACAAAAATAAGTGGGCCATTAAGTTTGCAATTAACTGTTAGGACATTTGCAATTCTTCTGAGCCAAGAACGATTTAAACTTGGAAGATTGGATCGTTTAGAATAGTGACGCATTTAAGTTCTTAAGCTTTCTTCAAAATGTTCATAAATGTATAAATCTTGACTTTTTGCTTAAAAAAAGGCAAGCTAGCGTTCCTTTCAGCCAACATTAACAGCGAGGAAATTAAAACATTAAATTTAAATGAAATATTTTTAGTATGCTTGCAAGGATTTACTAACCGCGCTTTGCTAAAAACACCAGTGTATAAGGTAGGGATCGAACCCGCGACAGTCAACGAAAGAATAGTGCATTTCTCACATCATTGACCCCACTTCTTACTATCACTTACTACATACTCATTTATCGGTGTTTCCAAGTAATCGAAGTCAAGTCCCACTTTATACATTCTCGACCCATAGTGTTCCTGGCGGTAGTGGTCTAGTCCCCACATTAAGCATGTTATTAAAATGAATTAGGAATTTATCATTTTATTTTTAGGTATAATAGAAATGTCAGGAGTTTGACACGATTCAGAGCTCATACAAAACTTCACGACAAACGTTGTGATTTTACTATAAAAAATAAAAGGATGCTTGCAACACCATAGTTTAGCTGATATGGACCTAAGGAAGTGTGATCCAAACATTCCGATATCCACCAAATTCCAAATGCCATATCCTTAATTCTACGAAAAATACTAGCTGATGCATTTTATGTATCCGACCTAACTACACATACAGGATTTAGTAGCCATTTTGTTCAAGATGAAATCCGTTTCGGTTACCGCAAATTTCACGAAATTCTCCCAACCACCGTAAATCAGCTCATCAGAAACCTCGAATTCCAACGAATTTCTTTGAACTCTCTTCGCCAACTGAAAAAACGATAATCGTGAGATTTCCTAAGAATTGATGAAGATAACGACAGTGAAAGTGATAATGGCACAAAGATCAATTAAACAGACATTTCATTATCATTGAAGTATTAGCAACGGGCCTTTTCCCCACTGTTGTTTTTAATTTTGTATACATTTCCTTTTCCATTATTACATGTTACCTATTTGGAGGTAGTTGTAAAATACTACAAAATTTAAAAAAAAGAAATATTTTATTTTTTAAATTTGTTGCAAACTTTTTCACGAATGTACGTTTTGTTAATTACAAACGCTCGTTTTACTTTCCTTTTAATTTTAGCAAAAATAAATTCATATATTAAAGACTGTTGTTGAAAAGACGATTTGTACAGTAATATTAAAAAATTTAATGTTAATATATTTTCTGTCATATTGAGACGAAAAACAATACTTCATTAACTAAAGGCATATTTAAAATCTTATGAGACCATATAATGCTTTTAATAAATCTGTTTTGAGGCAGAAGTGTCCGAGTGGTTAACACTACAAACTTTGGGATGCTGAGAGTGCTTAAGTCTTACTATAATAAAAATTTACTATTAAATAAAAATTACGATTTGCAACAGCCTTAAAAACCAAAATTTATACGAATATCGAAGGGACAAAATGAATTGTTTTTTATGAAGATCAGCGCATGTCGGCTAGAGAAAAATTAGAATTACAAATTTTCTGGATGGGAATTATCATAATTATACCGTATACTTTTTAGTAAATATCAAAAGTTACGTTAGAAAATAAACAATAACAATCATTCATAATTACATACTAAGGAGAAAAATGTATACGTAGAGATTAATATATATGTACAAAGCGAGATTTGTGAGTTGGTTAGATAGATAATGGGAGATAGAATGAAAAAAAGCGAAAGTATGAGAGAGAAAATGAAAGAGATAAAACGAGCTAGAAAAGAAATAAGATTAAGAGAAGACGAATAAATTTCAATTGTTTTATATTGTAGAGTATAATGAGAATACATTTGTGAAATGTGATTTTTAAGTACGGATAAACAGAAACTAATAATACGTTGGCAAAAAGTGTATTTTTTTTTTTTTGACACTTCCAATTAGATCTAAAAATACTGTCTAAATCGAGATACAAAAATATTTCCATACTTATTCCATGACAAGAAGTATTCAGACATTGAATAAAGAGCGTTGGATTTATGACCACCCTAAAGAAACAATGTAGTCAGCAGATAATAGATGGGCTATTACCATTCTATTCTAGTTGTGATTTATAGCTATCATCGTTTTATTTTGCGTTTTAATTGTAAATAACTCCTTTATAATTCTTTAAATCAATTTTTCGTTTTTCTTGCCGATTGGTTTAAACATAACAGTTTTATCTTATAATTAATGTAATTTATTTACGTACCGTTCTTTCGCCGAGGTTTCGAACTCTGCAATGGAGAAAGGCAGTGCCGCCCAGCTGGACCGTATTATTGACAACCGTATTGTTGTCAAACGTTGGCTCTGTAAGCCTTTGGTACTCGTCGAAATTCGAGTACCATAATTCGCCTGCAGCTCGCGGCGAGACGCTTTCTTTCTTTCCTAAAACAAAAAACACAAAATTATATAAAAATCCTCTAATTGATCCTATAACAACTTTCAAATTGGAGCGCGAGTGCACCAGAATTCGTTTGATGCGCGGCGGCTCCGGCAGACGAGGAACGCGTGGCGTCCTGAAACGTTGCTTCTCGCCTTTGCGGTTTTGCGCTCTCGCCTTTTTCGCCCCGGGACGACAAAATATATACATTTCTGGATTCAACGGCTTTTTTCTGGACAGAGGAGATCTTTCTGGCACATCGGACTGGGCAACCGGCTTCGATTCAGTTCGACAGCTATTTACCTTCGACTTTCATCGAGCTGCACTGGCAGGGTAATCACTTGTCCCAAAGAACATTTTTATTTTCATTATTTTATTTCTGTCAATTGATTTTCATTATTGTTGCCGGCTCAATGTCATTAATTTTAATTGAAGAAAAGTATTGGTTTAGTATTTTTAATTTTTAATTTTTTTAAAAAGCTTTTAATCGTTATTATTCATTTTTAATATATAAAAGGTATTTATTTTGTGTTATTTATTTTTAATTAAAAAAAAGGAATTTATTCTGTATTATCTATTTCAAAAAATAGAAAAAAGGTGTTTATTTGTATTTTTTTGCTGTGGTTTATTTTTTATTTCTTCTCACAAGGTCTAAAACAACTGTCCTGATCCCACCAATCTATTATAATCCGATCCGTTACACTTTTGGACAAATTCCAAATCAAATAGAGAAAGAAATGTGTAAAGTTTATCCCAGGTGAACATCACGCTCCCTTTCTCAGCCGATGTCACAGGAATCAGAAAGTTACCCAACACTCAGCGAGAGTAAAGCTCGCCGACTTGACAGACAAACATCTCAAGAAAGTTGTCGAGTACCTTCGTGTTACTCGGTAACTTTTAACGTTAATGTTTGCCCTCTCGGCCTGCTATCTTACTCGGCCTGTTCAGTAAATATTCCGACTACGGTTAAACTCTGACGCTAAGCAGTTTTGTATTCAAGCGTAACTCACTGCGAATATAAATTATGTTTTGAAGAGTTTGAAATCGTTTCTCAGCGGTTTTTGAAAACAAACCACTCAAATTTATTTAACACGAATATAACCTTAACTTTCAAAACGTTCTGTGGGTGGGGGCGCCGGTGGCGGCAACGGTCTAGGCGTTGACCCGGCGCTCATCACTGTAAAGGTCACGGGTTCGATTCCAGCGGTCCTGCACTGGAACCCGACAATAAGTGGGCTTTTTATATTATAAAACACCAGTACCTCGAGGATTCATATGAAGTACGCTCGTAAAAAAACGCAATTGCGTGACATCAATAATTGAAAGAGGCCGTGTAGTTATTTTTGTTAAGAAATGTACTCACATAATAACAGTTTCCAACAAACAAGAAACTAAACTAAGAAAAATAAATAAGCGAAAAACTAAACGGTAGTAGAAATAAATATAATAATAATAATAATAATAATAATAATAATAATAATAATAAGTTTATTGCACACAAGAAGAAAAAAGAAAATTTACATATAATTCAAACAAGAAAATAAACTTAATACGGCAAGGTAACCGTCTGCCGGGGCTTGGATTAATTATTGACTAATCCTGTAAAATAAACGTACAAATGCATTAAACTAAGTCTATGCTAAGTGTAACATCTATAACAAAATACCAAATCAAAAGGACACAAAACTGAGAATTAAAAATCAATTAGCGGAGCTGAGACCGGAGAAACAGAAACACCAAATATCAAGGGAAAGAGCGGAGGAAAAGAAATTGGGAGTAAAAGAGAAGAAGAGAGAAGAATTACTAATTAAATTCGTTTAATATTAGCCTTCGATAGGCCCAGGCCGCTTTAGCATAATTCACTAAGTCTGTCCAATCTGGTCCGTTGAGCAATCTGATGCATCTGTCCATTGATACGGTTCTTTCGCCGAAGAAATAAATATGTTCCATTACCAAATCTTCAAGGGATTCTTCATGAAGACAGTGAAAATTTAATTACAAATTTGAAAGAACATTAACGCTTAATCCATTATATTTCGTGGTCCGATTGACCAAATAACTTCTTTCAATTAATTAATCTTTATGTAAGGTAATTGGATTGAAGTCACGATGGCTCAAGTGTACCCGGTACCCAAGCAGCGGGGTATTTGCGTCGTGGGTTCGAATTCCGCTCGAGGCACTAGGTTTTTCATTTCAATCAATACCTTACATAACGATTAATTAATTAATGCTAAAATGAAAAGAAGGCGTCTTTACAACTGTTCTTAAGGTTTAAAATAAATATATTATATTTTGTGGTCCGATTGACCAAATAACTTCTTTTAATTAATTAATCTTTATGTAAGGTATTGTTTGAAATGAAAAAGCTGGTGCCACGAGCGGGATTCGAACTCACGATCTTCGGCTAAATACGCCACTGCTCTAACCACTTCAGCTATCGTGGCTTCGATCCACACGGACACCAACTTCCCATTTCAACCTACCTTTCGAATTTTCCCTCTTTTTTTCCATTTTTCAAACGTCGTGTATTCACGATTCGATTCTCGGCGACAAATAAATGACCACGGAGGGCTTTAGTGAAGCTATACTTCCTTTAAATATTAAATCCATTATATTTCGTCGTCCGATTCACCAAATAACTTCTTTCAGTTGCAATTAATTAAGGTTTTTAGTTGAGATAAAAAAGTCAATGGCACGAGCGGGAGTCGAACCCACGATCTTCGGCTAGATACGCCGCTGCTCTACCACTTGAGCTATCGTGACCACTTACCTTACATAAAGATTAATTAATTGATAGAAATAAATTCACTAATTTCGTGGTCCACTTGACCAATTAATATATTACAATTAATTAAGGTTTTTAGTTGAGATAAAAAACAGTTTTAGTTGAAAAATGGCAAAAAGGAGGGAAAATTCAAAAGGTGGGGTTGAGATAGGAAGTTGGTGTCTTGTGTGAAGTGGTGGAATTTTTTGTGTCTGTAACTTTTGTTCTAGTCTAATCTATCTCAGTTCTTTAAATTTGAAATTTTTATCAAATGTGCATTTTGGAAGCAGGCATAGACAGTCATACATAATAGATTTTATGAAATTTATCCTTAAAATGTAACTGCTCTTTTTGGCAAGTAGGTTATTAGTCCTTGTTCTTGCATAAGATTGAGGGTTGTGGCTGTAGCCTCTCTCTGGATAAAAATATTATGTGTTGGTAGATTCAAGAAACATTCCACGGGAGTTATGAGGGTCGTATTCATTGCAAAGTCAATAAAATCATATGTACAGTAGTAAATCAAATATGACCAGTATATTTGACAACAAAAATATTAAGTATGGCGTAATGTCTAATTTTTTGTTTTAGTATTGCTTGACTCACGATCAAACCTAGACATTGAAAACAAACTTTTAATTTACACGACAATGATAAGACCTCTCCGGGTGTACGGTTTGAAACGAGGGCTCAAGGATTACAATTCCCACCGTCTCCAATCAATCCAATCTCGTCAAATTATCAATGCTCCTTTTTATGTTTCCAATTACATAATTCATAACGACCTACACAGCCCGTTTGTATATGAACTCGTTAAAACCCGCTGTAAAAAATTTGCATCAAACACTGAACATACACAATAATATATTATTACGACAGTTATCACTTCGAAACTTATCCGAAATTCCTCCAAGACGATTGAAGCGAAAGTGACCCCGAGACCTTCTCATTGAGTGAAGATTGAAAAAGTTTCAGTGTGAAAGAGTGGTGCCACTGGGCAATTTCTCCTACAAACACATAAATGACAATTTCAACATACACGACCATATTTACTTAACTATTTGTAGTTGTATCAAATAAATATAATAATTTTTTTATCAGAGATAATATACGTGTAGCTACAGATTGGGTTAAAGTAAAATAATTTGTACAAATTTCTTTAATAAATTTTAATTAATTTTCATTAAATATTTTTATATGGGTTCATTACGAATTTTAATTTTATTATTTGCATTTTCTTTTGCTGTCAGCATTTAGGTATTTTCTTGATTCCCGTTCTATCAGTATTTTCAAAATTAAAATATTCCACATAAACAACAATTTTTAAGGTAATTGGTTTTGTTCTAAGAAAACACCAGTACAGAATACCAGACGTTTTAATCAACCCATAGCAAGTACGCCCACGAACATTAAATAACCTTAAGCGACGTGTAACATGTATGGAAAATACATTTTTTGTTACATAGTAAAATTCTTGTATCCGATATAAATTTTTACTTTGCTACTGTAAATTTTGTTAGATTAGAAAATAATTTTAAAAATTCAAGAAAACATAAATTTTATAGTATCGGGTTGGACTTATATTAGTTTTTTCAAATTGTTTACATTCAACACTCAGTTTTATATTACGCTGACAAATAATTTTCAGTTATAAATTAGCACATAACAAGACACCATTACTAATTCGAAAAATGATCATTTTTGCACATATCAAAACCTACGCAAAGATTGTCAGTTTCTCGCCCACTTCCCCGATAAAATAATTGGTGTCTATACTGACGGAAATAATGTGATTATCATAATTTTGTACACCGAATCGAGTGACAACCCTTTGGGTGTCTAAAACATAACAAAAAAAATATTATTCTTCAAATCATCTAGACAACAGCGTATCAGATATAATTCAAATAACTTAACATAGATATTAATATATAATGTATGTATTCATTGCAGACAATAAAAATTAAAGAAAACATTATTAGCCATATAAATAAGATGATTTTTTTTTCAAATCAACGTAATAAATTAAAAATTTTACCATTTCACAATTTTTTTGTTTTATTGAATTCGAAAAAGGTTTTAATGAAAGGAATCCTCGCGAACAACTGGATTCACAAGAAAACCTCCTACCGACATTGGAAAATCTATTTAAAGGTAAACAATTGAATAACTTTAAACGGTTAGAAAGCGGGCATTTCAAAATGACCGCTGTAATTCAATTGTCTTTAAAATAGCCTACATCGT